TTCCTTCCTTCCTTCCTTCCTTCCTTCCTTCCTTCCTTCCTTCCTTCCTTCCTTCCTTCCTTTCTCCCTCCCTCCCTTCCTCCCTCCCTCCCTCCTTCCTTCTTTCCTTGGTGCACAGTGCTTAAAATGCAGTATTGCAGGGTGATTCTGCCCACTGCAAGGAGTTCGATCCTGACCGGCTCAAGGTGGACTCAGCCTTCCATCCTTCCAAGATGAGGACCCAGATTCTTGGGGGCAAGAGGCTGACTCTGCAAACCGCTCAGAGAGGGATGCAAAGCACTGTGAGGCTGTATACAAGTCTAAGTTCTATGGCTATAAACTGTACGTAAGGACTGGGTGAAGCTCTTCCCTTTTGTTGGCTGCAGGTTGCACCAGACGGGAGACAAGTGCCAGCTGCATCGTTGCATCAACAGTTCCAAATTCTTGGTTGCCAAGGGCTACTGTGTAAAGGTGAGTCTGCATGTAGTGTTCCTGTGCTATAAAGGTAGGACCTCAAGTTACGACAGTTCATTCACTGACCGTTCAAAGGTACAATAGCATTGAAAAAAGGGACTTATGACCGTTTTTCACACTTATGAGCATTGCAGCATCCCCAGGGTCACGTGATCAAAATTCGGGCGCTTGGCAACTGGTTCATATTGATGACAGTCGCATTGTCCCCGGGGTCACACGATCACCTTTTGCGACCTTCCGGCAAGCAGAGCCAATGGGGAAGCCAGGTTCACTGAACAACAGTGTTGCTAACTTAACGAACTGCAGTGATTCGCTTAACAGCCATGGCAAGAAAGGTTGTAAAATGGGACAAAACTCACTAAAGAACTGCGTCGCTTAGAATAATGAGAAATTTGGGGCTTGATTGTGGTCGTACGTTGAGGATTACCTGTACCTGTACTCTCTGGTTTTAAAAGCAGTGATCCTTAATGTCTAACTATTGCGGAACTGTAAAAGGGAGCTTGTATTTCCTGTCAGTGAGATGATGCTGGAGAAAACATATTGTGATGACCCAGGGTAGGATACAACAGCAACAAAGTCACCAAAATAGGTGAAGTCCCTTTAATTCCTTCAACTTGGCTTCAAGTTGAGGTCCAAATATCATTGACTGGAGAAAAAAACTCCCCCACAAACAGTTGCAAAAAGAAAGAAATTTCATTCAAACTCAAAATACATATAAATTATAAATAGAAAAAACAACACAAACCACACTGAAGCAATTAATGAGACAAGGCAGGATAAGGGCTTGAAGACATCCACAGATATCGAAAATACACATACTGGGAAGGATTCCAGAACTCACATAAGAATGGACAGATCAGAATATTTTCATGCTTTGCTTCCAGCACTGGCCAATGCCCGGTTTGTCCTTTTAAACAGTCCTCCCAGCTGCAGACCATGAAGGGGATCAGGGCCCTTTCTTCCCCGTAGACCACACCATTCACATTTCTCCCTTATCCGCTCCTCCCGTCATGCCCTAGAATGAAGAGGGGATGGGCCTCGGTCTTCCTCTGAATGCCCAGCCAGCCTGTGCCCTTCCCCAGTTTCCTCCACAACCTCTGGAGCCACACTCCCACTCCCTGTCAGCTGTTCCTCCTCTCCCTTGGAGTCACATTCTAACAGGGGCATGACACCTATGTAAATGTATGTAAACCTGCCCTTAGCAAGTTGTGTTGTGTTTGAAGGGAGTCAATATCTTTCTCGCATTACCCAACCATCCCTGGAGTGATACAAGCCCTCATTGCACTTGTACTGCTATGGGGAAGTATAACAATTTTGGAAGATGCTCTGCGGGTGGTGATGGTGAATGCCAGAATTGCAGAGACTCCCTGTTAACACAACTCAATCAGTATAGAGCTTGGTGAGACCTTGGAGGTCTTCTAGTCTAGCCTCCTGCTCAAGCAGGAGACCCTACACAATTTCAGACAACTGACTGTCCAGTCTCTTCATCCTGGGATGAAGCACCCACAACTTCTGGTGGCCAGCTGTTCCATTGGTTAATTGTCCTCAGGAGGTTTCTCCTTAATTCCAGGTTGCTTCTCTCCTTGATTAGTTTCCATCCATTGCTTCTTATCCTGCCTTCTGGTGCTTTGGAAAATAAATTGACCCCCTCCTCTTTGTGGCAGCCTCTCAAATACTGGAATATTGCTATCATGTTCCCTCTGGTCCTTTTTTCCCTCTAGATTAGACATATCCAATTGCTGAAACGGTTCTTCGTATATTTTTATCTCCAGCCCTTCTTTGCACTTTTTTCCCCCAAAGTCTCAACATCTTTTTTTGTAATGTGGTGACCTAAACTAGATGCAGTATTCCAGATGTGGCCTTACTAAGGCTTTATAAAGTGGCACTTACTTCATGTCTTAGTCTTAGTAACTCCGTTGACTGTCGATGAATTTCCAAACAGGTTTCAGAGAACTCACTTTCTCTCCATTCCATTCAGCTGTCAGGATTTAAACTGGACCAAACAGAGTCCTCCATCAGTCGAAAAAGCAAAGATAAAGTCCGCAGGGAGGTCTCTTCTTTAGCCTATATCTGTCCAGAGGGCCTGGCCTCTTTAGACCATCCGTACAACTTGGCTAGTGAAATATACAGGTATGTATCCAGCTGTCAGGATTCTGGCATTTACCCCAATTAAATAATGAGTCTCGAGCCAAACTTCCAAAACTTCAAAAGGATTTATTGGAAGTTAACATGTCTGGCACTGCCTGGGTGTAGCCGACTCTGAGACATAACATTCACTGTCACCCTTGAGCCTGGTTTTCCCCCACCCCCTGAGTGTATCATAATTCATATTCTCCAATGGGACACATCCATAGCCAAGAGTCATCAATCATGCTCTCCAGTTAGAATTTTGCACGGCAGAAACTTCAGTCACCTGGTTACTATCTTTGAAAACTATTTATGGAATGCACTTTTGATTTCCAAGCTGCCGCACTGCTCCCCACTCCTTTTCTGTTGGCAACTCTAAAAAGACCATAGAAATATTTGATGAGTTGACACCTGCCTCTCTGCAGCTATGAAGAGTTATGTGGGGTCAACACATCATTTTCTGAAGCTCAGTATGGCCTCAGTTTAACGGGGTCAGTTTCAGACGGAATTCTGCATTACTGTGTCATGTTAAACTTGATTAATTTTAAATTGGATTAGGATGGCCACTGTATACCAGTCTGTATGCAGTTTAGCCTTTCCCAATTGGTTTAGAATTCATGGTGTTGTGTGAGCACAGAAAATGGGTTAATTCAGTATCAAGGTTAAGGGTGTTGTGCAGAGAGCCAGCAATCTATGGCCACATGTCCCTCCCTCATCTCTCCAGAGGCCCTTGAAAAGAGAGGCCGAATGTCTGTAATTTCTGTTGCATCAAATCTCCCCCCCCCGTTTCCTTTCTGGAGATCCCCTGATGTGAGCAGCAATGAAAGGAGGAAGTGACAGAGTTCAGATGTCATACTCCTTTTCTTTAACCATGACTTGACTAGATTCCAATAGCTGGGTATGCACGACATGTTATGTTATAAACCTTGGACTAGTGGCCACAGTGCCTGGATTCACACAATAGGCCACTTTGAGGCTTAGCAGAATGAGCGGAGTCAGCTTTCCTTGAGAAAGGAATCTGCAGGAGTGGCCCTGTCATGGCTGGTGGCCCGCTGTGGAGACCGGATCCTGGAGAGAAGGGGAGGAAGGCAAGGATGGGATTCAAAAATCCCAGCAACCGGTTTGCTACCCAGTTGCTGGGTGGGTGTGGCCATGGTGGGCGTGGCCTACTGGAACTTCCTGGAGGGCCATTTTTCATCTTCTCAAGGGTCCGGAGACTTCCCTCAAACTTCTGGGAAGGCAAAAACCGCCTCCCCTGGGTTCTGGAGGCCCTCCAGAAGCTGGAACCAGGCCTGTTTCCGGATTTCTGGTACTTCCGAGAGGACCATTTTTCACCTTCCAAAGGGTTCGGAGGCTTCCCTCAGGCTTCTGGGAGGGCGAAAACAGCTTCCCGCAGGTTCAGGAGGCCCTCTGGAAGCTGGAAACAGGCTGTAAAGCATCCAGAAAGTATCCATGATATCAATCACTCTGAGACATTTTCTCTCCAATTGATTTATTTAGAAACAGATCTGGCATGTCAAAGGCAATTTCCCAAAGTGAAAGTATTTTCATGCATTACACAGAATCCACCTTCTCTCCTCCCACTTCTACGCTTCGTAAATCACGAGAACCAATTAACTGCACTGGAATTTCTTAATACGACATACAGAATAACCTTGAACTTTTCAACTCCTTCATCCCCCTTCCATGAAGTGTGACAGCTGAATTTTAAAGCTGACATAGGCCTGTTTCACAACTTCTGGTACTTATGGGAGTGCCATTTTCCCCCCTCACAGAGCCTCCTGAACTTACCTGCATCCAAAACAGACCACATGGAGACTCCTGGGAGGGGAGGGGTGGGCAGGGCCAGCCGGTCAGTTCAAATACCGGTTTGGTGAACCAGATACAAATTTAACATTTGGTTGGCCCGAACCAGTCCGAACTGGTAGAATCTCACCCCTGGAGGCAGGCTTTCCTTGAGAGGGGGCACCCCAGGAGGCGTTCTGCTGAAGACCTCCAAACCCCTAGTCAGCACTGACTCTGCCCTGGCTGCAGGCTGCCATCTGGAGGGAGAGGGGTTTAAAAAAGGGCAAAATGCCATGACACACCCTTGGTGTCCTTCAAGGTGGAGCCACGGACCATGAATCCCACAGCGGCTCCATCCACACCACACACCAGCAGTTTCTTAACCATGGTTTATTGAGTAGGCCACTGTTAGCTAGCCTTCAGTACATGGGTGTCAAACTGGCGATATCACATCATCAGGTGACGTATTGCGACTTTTCCCCCCTTTGCTAAACTGGGGGTGAGCGTGGCCAGTGTGTGATGCATCCAGCCCACAGGCTGGGAGTTTGACAGCTTGGCCTCAATAGAATCAACTAAGCCAGGATGTGGTTTGGTTGGTTGGAGCTGAATATAGTATTGTGCGAATCTGGCCAATGTGCCAAGGCCCATTCAGATGGACCACTCCCAGGCTTGATAATGGCAGGGAAGGAGCTGCCAGCTCTCGGCTCCCTTGCGTGATAGTTGCTGCCTTCCTTTCTTTCAGCTTTGGAATTGTGCTGTGGGAGATCGCAACTGGGAAGCTTCCCTTTACAGGTGAGGGCTGGGGTCTTCTTTGGGGGAAGGTCTGGGTTCTCTTCCACGGGGGAGGATGCTGCAGGGAAAACAGAAGGGCATAGGGGTCTTCCTGTTTCATCCTGTGGCACAACCATTGTGTAAAACATAGAATTGTGGGGATGGAAGGTGTGATGACCCAGGGTGTGACACAAAAATAACAAAGTCATAAAAGTAGAATAAATTCCCTTTAATGCCTCTAACTTGGCCCCCAATGTCCAGTTATCCTTGGCTGGAGATCAAACTCTTCAAAAAACAGTCTACGAAGGAAAGAAGCTTGCAGTCCGAACCCAAAGTAAAGATAATTAGAAATAAAAACAACAACACAGACCACGCTGAAGTAATTAACATGACAGGCCAGGATGATAAATTGCAGACTTCCAAAGGATAACACAGCACCCACAGTTGGGAGGATGCCAAAACCCAGATAAGCCTCGACAAAGATAATGCAGGCTTTGCTTCCAGCAAGGAGCTATGTGCAAACACCCCACTTATATCCTGTTTTCCCAGCTGTAACTAATGAAAAGGATCAGGGCCTTTTTCTCTCCCGTAAGCCACGTTGCTCCCTTCTCCGCTCCTCCCTGCGTGCCCTAGGGTGACGAGGGGGTGGGCCTGGGTCTTTGTCTGAATGCCCAGCCGGACTGTGCCCTTCCCCCATTTCCTCCACAGCCACCGGAGCCACACTCCCACTACTCCCTGTCAGCTGTTCCACCTCTCCCTCCGAATCAGATTCCAACAAGGGTATGATAGAAGGGACTTGGGAGGTCTTCTAGTCCAGCCCCCTGCCAAAAGGGGGCCAACCTGGTAGTCCAATATTTTCTTAAGAGCCTCCAGCACCCAACTTTGAGAGGCAAGCTGTTCCATTGTTTAATTGCTTTCTTCGTCAAGAAGTTTCCTCGTTAATTCTAGACTGGATCTCTGTTTAATGATCTTCCAGCTGTTCCTTCTTGTCCTGCCTTCAGATGCTTTGGAGAATAAGTCCATCTCCTCTTTGACAGTCCCTCAAATATTGGAAGACAGCCATCGTGTCTCCCCTAATCCTTCTCTAAAGTTGGGGCTGTTTCTCGTGGCACCCCCCCCCCCGGGCAGTGTTTCTTAACCTTGACAACTTTAAGATGGGTGGACTTCAGTTCCCAGAATTCTCCAGCCATCCATGAAGTCCATCCATCTTAAAGTTGAAACGGTGGGAGTTGAAGTCCACACATCTTAAAGTTGCCCAGCTTCAGCTGCCTTATCGTTGAGCAGGACTCAAGATTTGTCTTCCTGCTGATCAGTGCCACCTCCTACTTCCCCATCGGCAGGGAAGAAGGAAAGCTGAGGGCTCCCCTGCCCTCAGCTGTGGTCAAGGCTGATAAAGACCCCTCTGGCCCTTCCTCTTGCGGTGGACATAGCTCAGCCGTTGGAGATGGAGCCCAGGAGGGAGGCGTTGATTCCAGAGCAGCCCAGAATGGCTGTGTTGAAGCCTCCTGAGACGGAGGAGTTTTTGAATCAAGAGCCTGTAGAAGTGAAACCTGGGTCGAGGACCTTCCCAGATCTTGGGTTGAGGAAGTTGGATCTTCTGAAACTGCACAAAAGGTTCCCAGAACTTCCTCTTTAGCTGAGAAGACAGAAACCAGATGGCCATAGTTTGGGGTGATTCATTCCTTTCCCCGCTTGTTTCTCTTCCACGTTTGCTGCTTTCTCCCCCACTCTTGGGCAGGTCAAGCCCCCTTTTTTGCAGCAGTCGGGAAAGATCCCTCTTTCAACACACCCTAGGAGGGATGATCGCAGAAGATGATCGGTTGGGCTTTGCTTAAGGACTCTCCCTGATTATGTTGCCTTTGCAAGTACAGATCTCTGCCAATAAAATTGTTGCTGGAGTCTTGGAAATGGATATGAAAAATCCAGGCAGAAGGGGCAGAAGGCAGCACTAAAAAATAACATTCAGGAAGTCCTCAGTGTCTCTGGAGATTCTCCATCATCTGGGTCATAGTTGTCCCAAAAGTGCTTTTACCAAAAGACAACTGAATTTTCTTGTTTGTCTGTTTGGTTTTTTTTTTAAAAAAAAAACTTTTCCTTCTCATCCAAGAAGCTTCTTCCATTCATGAAGAACTGAAAAAGCTTCTTGGAAGAGAAGCAAAACATTTTCAAAGTTAAAAGAAAATCCAGCTGCCTTTCAGAAAAAGCTACTCCTCAACTTACAACCATTTGTTTAGTGACCGATCAAAGTTACAACAGCACTGAAAAACCTATGATGGCTTTTCACACTTACGACCGTTGTAGCATTTCCATAGTCACGCATGTAGTCACTGAACTGGTAGTAACATTGATTGAATCCCACCACTGTGCGATTCACTTAACTTACTGTGGCAAGCAAGGTCATAAAATGAGGCAAAACTCACTTAACAACTATCTTGCTTAGCAATAAAAAAATTTGGGTTCAAAATGTGGCCATAAGTGGAGGACAATCTGTAAAAAGGGTGCTTTAATCATTCTTCGTCAGCAACAACTAAAAATGCCAGGAGAGACGGAGAGACAGGAATTGACAATTACTGGCAGAAAACAAGCTGGCCTCTTTTTGTCAGCAGGCAAACTTTTGTGGAATTAGCACTCGCAGTCGTGTCACTGCACAAGTCCTGCCCTACAACAGGTAGGCAGGGTAGCCAAAAGAGGCCTCAGTTTGTGCTGGACTCCTCTGTCTGAAAGTTATGGAGGATTGCAGGGAAAGGAACTGGGGTGGTAAAAGCTGCAGAGGACCTGGACGGGACCGTTTCAGGAACTTCTAGGAAATTGACAAAGACGTCTCTCTGAATTTCCTTGTGGCCCTCATTCCCTCTTATATTTTCTCCTCTGATCATGTTTTTGAGTTGAAATGACAGACAAGAGAGGCAGTCTTGCTCTATAGTTGACCTAGGAGCTAAATAATTAGGCAGTACAGCAGAGGGAAAAAAAAGATCTGATGATCATTTTTCTGTCTTAAGATTATGTGGGAAAAAATGTTGAAGGTAGAAGCCTGAAGCCATTATTCTGAACGTAAATTGGGTCAAGACAGGGCCATTTCAAGCTGGCAGGACAGGCAGTTGGTAGAGTCTCCTCCAAACAGCATCAGAACACTGCTGATAAGGTATGAGGAGCCACTTTTGAGTTCATAACATTTTGGATTTGAAATACATCGCAAACCACTACTTTGTGAGCATTACAGAATTGGAAGGGATCTTAGAAGTCTTCTCCAGCACAAGACCAGTGGTGGGATTCAGCTGATTCACACCAGTTCATGCAAATCGGTTGTTAAATTACTCTTTTCCCCCTCTGCTATCAAAGTGGATCCTGGGCGCTGCGTTGCAATAGAGAAACGGGCA